GAGAGAGAGAGAGAGAGACGTGTCTAGTCGCTGTCGAGCAGAATGAAGGACAACTCACTTGGGGCAGCAGGATCCAGACACCGAGTAGTAGTCATCAGGGCAGTGTGGCAGGGTGGTTCGGGCACCATCCTCAGGCCACGGATATTTAATTCCGCCGGCGCCCTGACCGAGATACACGGCCGAGTACACCACGTCCGCAGCGGGCCAGGGACAACACTCGGGCCGATCGTTGGTGCAGCCGACATAGCCGGCCCAGTATGCTGTGACCCCGGCGTTGACTAGGGTATACGAAGGCGATGCGCAGGTACCGGTGAGGAGCGGGCCTGTCCCCGAGTAGGTAGGCTTGCTGGTTATTATTGCCGTCATGGAGCCTGTCTCCCAGTAGGCAGGCTTGTCGGTTCTTGTTGCCGTCGTGGAGCCTGTCCCCAAGTGGGCAGGCTTGTCGGTTCTTGCCGACGTCTTGGAGCGGCTTGTGATGTTTGTACTACCGACCGAGCTTTTAGGCCTGTCAGTAAGCAGGCCGAGCACAACTGAGGACAGACGACTTACGTGGAAGAAAGCTCTGGGGCGGAAGGCGTCCCGATCTGCGTCGAAGGAGTGGCAAGGGTGGTGCCGCACATGGACTGGATCCAGGAGGCCTGATGCGCTACAAAGTCGTCTGGCGAGGAGGGCTTTTGCGTGAGCTGCAGGAGCTGAGGAGCACGTCGCGGGAGCGGTGAAGTTACTAGGCACTTACCATACATAGTCCTGGACGGGCAGCGCGCCGTCATGGCGGAGTATTCGCACTGCAAATACGCCCAACTTTGTGGTGTCAGCTTCTCTTGCTATTCTCCTTGGGTACACCACCGACCTGGGTGTCTACTCACCCGTTGTTGCAGTAGCACGCGTTCACGCTTTCAGAATTCATCCCACCGGGGATGTCGTTTAGGCTCTGTATGCAAGCAACTATTCCGCCGCCGCAGCCTTTCGCGGCACCGTGGTCCTGTGTAAAGAGTCGGAGGCTGCGTCAGTTCCCGAGTGCCCAGCCACGATCCCATTATTGCGACAGGCCAGTGGGACTTACCATGCATGTCCGATCAAGCCCGCCTGTCGAGCTGGGTAGTCTGGCCGGCGGTGTGGTGGCGGGAGGGACAGACGAGGTGACGGGGGGAGGGACAAACAAAGCTCTGATGGCGGGAGGGAGAGTCGAGGTGGTCGCCACCGGCGTTGGTATCGCCGCGACCGGCATGGCGGAGACTCGGGCAGAGCGACCTTTTACTGGCAAGCACCCTGCCTCTTTTGACTGGTTCGGGACTTGGTGGTCTTGGCCGTGTGGGATCCAAGTTTGGTTTGTGTGTGTGTGAGGTGAAGAATCGTGCACCTAGGTAACATATAGGATGTGGCAGAGGCAGCTCGGGGGGTTTGAGGGACGGACACAGTCTCGCATATATAAAGAAACGAGGGTCGGGCTTTCCAGCTTGGGAAAGACGCAAGACGAGAGCGGAAAGAGCCAAACAGCAAAGTCAAATCGAGCACTTGCTTCTATTTTCAGGCTAGAGACGCCATAGCTATAGCTGCACGGCCTCCCTTCCCTCCATCTCCTAGCCTCCGTCCGGGCATAGATCGGATCGAGGCAAGTTTGCCAGGCGGGCAGGAGACAAAGTGACCAGCCGGGACGAAACCATCGAGCCTTGCCGCCTCGATCGGCGCCGGTCCCAACCTAGATTGAGCCACGGCGGGCGGTAGGGGATGGATTGTTGAATCATGACACCAAGAAGGCAGAGTGCATGTAAATTTCCATTTCGTCCGTCGACGCCACGCCCGAGTCCGTGGCAAGGACGACGTGGGCCGGAGCGGGGCATGAGGCGTGAGGGCTTGAGGTTTGATGCTCGAGGCTTGAGGCCTACTCGTGCCGCTCTTATGGGCTCGCTCGGATGGCTAGAGGATGGACCTGGGGGGTCTGGATCTGGGTTTTATGGCGCTGCTGGTCGGGACGCCCGAAGTGCCAACCCACTTGCTGATGGTGCCAAGACCTGTGCATCAAGCTCGAGAAGACGCACGGAAAGATGCAGGTTGGGCTGCGGATGATGCCCCAAGCCTTAACGCCACCTCCCTACTTTGGCTACTATGTAAGCATCGCAGGACGTCACCATATGTTGTGCGAATCAGGCGGCGTTTACCGTGCTGAAAAACAATGAGATGGTCCGAGTCCAAGGCCACTGGCTTGAGCGGGCCGGCCTGCCAGAGACGCTAACCCTGGGTCGATGCAGCAAAGTTACGCTACGGCCGATTCATTCAACCCAACTTGACTTTACAAATACTTTTCAAGGCCACGAGTACCTACACCGAGGAAGGGAATCGCGGAACCCTGAATGGGCTGCTTGGCGTAGAAACTTCCCAGGTAAAAAAAAAAANAAAAAAAAGCCGCAACCAGGCGCAGCACTCACTTGTCCAGCCGAGTCCGCGGGGCGGGTCAATCAGGCTAAATAGCAAAAGATGGGCGGGCCCCTTCCCACGCAGCCGGGCGTCACGCAACGGACGGAAATATCAGCAGCAAAAGCTCCCCGGCTCGTGTAGAC